GACGGACGAGGCTCAGATGGCGGCGGCCGCGGCGCTGGCCCGGCTCGAGCTGAAGCCCAAGGGAAAGGCGCCTTCCTGCTCCCAGGAATCCATCAAGAACCAGGGTAGGAGCGGCTGGAGCTCCGGCAGAGCCCGGGGATGGAAACCCCAGTTTCCTGGGTGGAAAACTGCCAGGGTGGGGCACCAGGAGCTGGAAATGGGGTCAGGGTCATGTTCACCCTTGGGCTGGGACAGAGCACCTGGGAGGTGTTCCCTTCCCCACATGTTCCCTTCCCCAGGTGTTCCCTTTCCCCTGTGCTGTCCCAAAGCCTCTGGAATGTGCTGAGCCTCTGCTGTAACCAGGGTTTGTGTCTCCTAGTGAGGAGAGAGCTGATGGCCGAGGCAGCTGCCAGCGAGAAGGGGCTCCCCGAGGAGGAGAAGGTGAGGGAGGTGCTGCCCTTCCCTGACTGCCCTGGGGGGATCTCCCGGGGTGTTAAACAACAGGCAAACCCAAGCCAAGCTCAGTTTGGTGCCTGGTTTTCCCTCCTTTAGGAGCAGGAGGAAGGGGAAGCTGCTCCCTCTGTCTCAGGGGTCTATTTTATCTGCCCCTTGACCGGTGCCGTCGTGAGGAAAGACCAGAAAGAAAAGCACCTCCGGGAAGCCATCCAGGCAGTGAGTGCTTTCCTTCCTGCTCCTCCAACTCCTTTTGTGTCCCCTCTAATGACCTCCCCAACCTTCTCCCTGTAAAATCTCCCCCAGGACAATTTAACTTTACCTGTTGAACCACCTTTATCCCAACCCGTGGGGTGTTTTATCCCAACCCACGGGGTGTTTTATCCCGCTGCGAGGGGGGGACAAATGTGGTGCTGAGTTGGGCTCAGCTCCTCCCTGACCAGCTCCTCTCCTTCTCCCCCAGCACTTCTCTGTGGATCCAGTGGCTGCTTCCATCATGGAGATCCACACCTTCAACAAGGACCGGGAGAAGGTCCGGGTGGGCGTGGAGACCATGGCCAAGTGAGTGGGGCTGCCTTGCTGGGACTGAGGGCACTGGTGGCACTGGTCTAGTCCTGGGTTTGTCCTGAGGGGCTGGACCAGGAGGAGGGGTCAGGGAGTGCCAGCCAGAGGTTTATCCCTCTCTTTCCTGCCTGGAAGGGTTTATCCCGAGGGGCTGGAGCAGGAGGGAAGGCCAAGGGGGTGCCAGCCAGGTTTTGTCCCTCTCCTGAGGGGCTGGACTGGGAGGAGGGGTCAGGGGGTGCCAACCAGGGGTTTGTCCCTCTCCTGAGGGACTGGCAGGGTTTGTCCTGAGGGGCTGGAGCAGCAGGAGGGGCCAGGGGATGCACGGGGGGCTGGGCCCTTCCCAGGTGGGTTTTCTTGCTGTTCTCCAGGCAAAGGGGCTTTTTTTGGGGGGAGAAAACTGAACTCTTGAACCACCTGAACTGTCAGTTGACCCAATTTCAGCATCCTGGAGGTGTTTTAAAGTGAAGAGTTGGGCCACCAACCCAGCAGGTTTGGGAGCTGCTGGTTGGCCCCAGAACACTGATGTGTTTTACTCACCTCTTTTCTCTGGGAGAAATACTCTGAGCTCTCTGTTTCCTGTCCCACCTTGGAGAAGCACGTCCTGCTCTGATCCATGCAGTGCCTCCCTCTTCCTGCAGGTACCTGGACAACATCTGCCTCCATCCAGAGGAGGAGAAATACCAGAAAATCAAACTGCAGAACAAGGTGTTTCAGGTGAGCTCAGGCTCCTGCAGCTGCCCAGCCTTGGGAAGTTTCTCTTGCTTGGAGCAAACTCCACCTAAATCCTGTCCTTTCCTTCCAGGAAAGGATAAGCTGCTTGGAAGGGGCACACAAGTTTTTCCAGGCCGTGGGGTTTGAGACAAAAACGTTGCCTGTTCCAGGACAAGGCAAGGAAGGGCAGAGTGTTGGTGTGGGGTTTGCAGGGGAACTGGGTTTGCAGGGAATGGGGTTT